TTGTCCAAAGCTGAGCCCGGAACTGCGGAGACGCCGGGTTTAAATAAGACTAAGGGGATGAGACACAGGTGAAACTACTGAACTAGGAACAATACAGGAAAAGGTAGGAGCGCCCTCTAAAAGAGGGACTACGACCGTGACAGATTCACCAGAAATATTTCTTCTTTTCAAAAATGTCTTCTTAGAGAAATTAGGCAAACAGTTTTGATCAGATTAGTAGAGGGAACTATAAAAGAGGAAATTCAACACAACCACATGAGCCTCACTGTGTGGGGGGGTGGGAGTCACCAGGTGCCAACAGCTATCCTATTGAATTTTATACTGTAGGTTTTACTGCCTATAGATACAGTAATTTTATTGATAATTTCCACTATGTTCACCCTAGTTACTGTATATTAGAGTTAGAAATAGCACTGACTGTTGTGGCTTGTCTGGCTCCTCTCCAATACTGTGCCTAAAATCAGCACAGTATGTCCAGTTGGCATCGCTTTAGAAGATTCAAAGGATGCAAGGTGCAAATACTCACCTTTATGAGGGCCAGTAACAATTCTCCTGCGTAGACCAAATGGATCCCAATATGCAACCCACTGGTTTCAGGACATTGTAACTACTATGAACGTCCAGCATGAGTGTGACTGCTGAGGAATATACTGTATGTAACAGACGGCCTCCTCAGCTGTGTCCTGCATATGACACAGGCTGTAGTGCAGGACATAAGCCACACGGGGCAGGGGGCAGAGCCGGATTTTGGTGATCGTAGGTCCTAGGCACTTTCACTCCGAAATGTGCAAAAAGAGGGATAAACGCCAATTGAATGACGTCGATTGACACGATGCACTTTAAACTATTCTAATGCTAAACCACGTGAGTGATAAAGTGCATCAAGTGACCATCACTTCGATACTTCTAGTTTCTAGAACAGCCTAGATAGAGTATGATTATCGATTTGGAGCACCTAGAGTCGATCGCAAGCGCGTTGTTTCAGCTAGTTTTTAGTTAGTCACTAGTGTTTCCCTCCTTCGCAGGCCCTAAAAAATCCGGCGCTGGGGGGAGGGGGGGTATTTTCCACATAGTGTGGAGACAGGTGAGGTGCTCGTGGCCCCTCATTTGCCTAGTTAGGTGGGGTCCATCCTGATAGCAGTAGGGTGATCTCAGTACAACCGGAATAACACATTCCTTGTACAGCCTGTGGTCTCCACGACAACAACACCAGACGTGTTAACGGAGGGGGGGGGTCAGAACACACTGTGCCCTTGATGGACACCACCACTTCTTGCTGCTTCACCACACCCTGCATCAGGTCAGCATGTCCACTCAAGATATCTGACACAAACAGAGACTGCGGAACAGGTGGAGAGTACCCGGCAGTGTTTTGTGACCCTCCAAAGCTCCTTTGTAGACGGATGATTAAAGTACTCCATGCCTTTACCTACTCTCTGTGCCGCAGAGCTCCATGACCCGAGGACAGCAGACCACACCTTCCCTGAGTATGTGGCAGATCCCCTCAAGCTCTTGTGCAGGGACCCTGAGGGACATCTTGTCTCTGACCTACTCGAGAGGGAGACCGTGCAGATGCCCAACACGACAGCAGTTGTGTGACAGCTCAATCATACAGCTGAGGTGCTGAGCACCTACAATGAAGAGAGAACTGGTGTGTGCGCAGGGACACAGTGGGATGGCTTTATGTGGGGGCAATTATGGATTCTACGCCTTGATGTGTTTTTACCTAAATCTAATGATATGCTTAAGAATTTGAGAAGCTACAGGCTAATGGGGCATGAAATGGGACTAGTATATTCTGCTAAACTGCATTAATTTCACTCACAGAAATAAACAGAAATTGGGTTTCAAATACAGTTAAAGCATGTAGTTAAGTAAATGTAGTTAAAACCATCTTTCACTCATAAAAGAGTTTTACAGTTTGTACCAGTTTGTGTAAACGGCCTGGGGAGATTATTGTAAACAGTGGGTGTGTCGAATTGGTGCTCATGATACTTATGAATGCCTGTCTGAGCTGTTTATTTAAGCCTTGTAGACAGTCCAAGAACAAGGAATCATTGTGTGTGTGCTTGCTCATGTTTTTACTTCCACTTTGCTGACTCTTTCTGTCAGAGCAAGCTTAATTCTTTGTGGCAATCTCTCATGAGCAGCACAGGGCAGAAATGGTAGCATTTAACCCTGGTGATAGGAAACCCAAATTCTCATCAGGGACATCTATATGCTGAAATAATTCCAAACTTCTGTATCAGAAAACAAAAGAAAAAAGGTGTTGCACATTGTGATGCCCCGACGACCTCCCATGCTCCTGCATCAACTCCATCAAATTCCACGACGCATTCCACACGTGGAAGGAGCTCGTCAAGGCCATCCCTAACGAGATCAGGCCGGACTTATCAGCCTCATTAGGGAACCTCACACAATAATTAAACCCCTAGTGGCCCATTCCTCAGGGCCCAGCCATTGAGTCATTAACACAAGTGTATGTCTGTGCTCTGTTCCAGGTCTTTCAGGAACTACTCATGGTTTTTTCCAGTTTCCAGTCCTCCAGTTCCAGCTTCCAGACTCTCTCACTCGCTAGCTATCAATCATCCCCTCCTGATTCCACCTCAGACCTGTCTGCCCCCTCCTGTGCGTGCGTCTCTCCTGCATGCTGTTTTCCTGCCTGCTTCACCTGTGCATCTCAGTCGTCAGCCACTCCTCCTTCCATTTTTTTATTTATTAGATTATTACCATCCGCTCATCCAATAAACTCCAGAAACTTTACTGCTGAGCAGACTGAAAAATAATTAATTTGCTGTGCCCTTTTTTCCATCCACGGGCCCAGCAAAACACATTGCACATTTCACAAATGTTAATTGGGTTTTTGCGGTTCCCATAAACGTGGTGAGGGTTTTTTTCCAGAGGCTTGATAAGAAATTGTTTAGACTTGCTCATCTTCAATTCCCTTTTGTGTTTTTTCTGGCTCCTGGAAGAGTTTCAGACCTGCTATCGTGATAGTGACCTACACAATTCAAAAGAGCAGTAAAAACGATACAACTGCGCTTAATGATTTCCCAGAAATCATGCTACTGCAGATAACTCACCATCACTTCAGATAGTTTCTGTTTGTCACTTCAAACGGTTTCTGTTAGTGGGATTTCCTGTGCAGTACATAAAACAGCATTTTTAAAATTATGTTAGGGTTTTAGAGCAATATGAGCTGGATATTTCTGTCAAGGGGTCATTAGGTTTCACCAAATCAGTCCCCCAGCAAGAGAGACAGCCCCACGTCTTCAGCATATACTATATCTGCCTGAAGGTAGAGCATATTTGTTTAATGATTCCCTTTAAAGTCCAATACACTTTGCTATAAACATTGCTATTATTTAAGACATATTTCACAAGTTTGTTATTTGTGTATTGAAGGGTTTCAGGAAGATAAAGCAGTCAGATGGTTGAATTGGACTATGCGGTACAAATTAGTGACTTGTGTGAGAGAGAAGCCAGACAGCAGGGACAAGTGTTCCTGGGTATCAAAACATAATCAGAAAATCAAGGTCAGAGAAACTGGGAAATGACTGAATATGCTCCTCATCCCCTTACAATATCTATCATGAGAAACATAACTGTACTTGTATACAAGCCACTGAAAACATACTGTACATTCTGGATTTCTTTCTTGCAGTGGCTTCAATGCATTGTAAAATATTTAGGTTTGGGGACAACTGGTTAGTAATCTCTAAACTGAGCTGTCTCTGAAACACCTGCAGTTAACAAAAGTGAATATGTGCCATATTAATGTGGCACAGTGGTTACCACTGAAGCCTTGCAGTGCTGGGGCCCTGGGTTCAATTCCAGACCTGGAGTGCTGTCTGTGTGGAGTTTGTATGTTCTCCCTGTGTTTATATGGGTTTTCTGCAGATGCTCTGGTTTCCTCCCATGGTCCAGCGACATGCTGGTAGGTTAATGGGCTTCTAGGAGAATTGGCCCATGTGTGAGTGCGTGTACTGTATGCCTGTGTGTGTCCTGCGATGGACCGGTGTCCTGAACAGGGTGTATCCTGCCTTGTGCCTGTAGCTTGCCAGGATAGCCTCTGGCTCCACTGTGACACTGTATTGGAAGAAGTGCTTAGAAAATGGAAGGATGGGTGTTCCATATTAGTGTGTCCTGAGAGTCCTTTTTACCTCTACATCTTTAAAGCAGTGTATCTGGCATACTTACTTGAGTACTGGTGAGGAAGACGTCAGTAGACAGGTAAAACCTTTTACAGTTTCTGGAACCTCATTATACTAAGACTGAAAATTAATCCAGGGTGTATATTTTTACAAAATGGCTGGACTACAGCTTGTTCTAAAGGAACAAGTACAGGTGTATTCCATGCTGAAAAGAGAAGAAAGGAAACAACGTTTCAGCTGTAGAGCCTTCTTGGGGTGTGAGCTTGTTCTACCCTCTTTGGGTAAAGAGTTGCAGTATGGAACAAGCTACCCATCCATGATCAATCCCTGGTCTCTTTAGGTTGTGTTGTTTGAAGTACTTTCTACTTATTATACGCAGAAAATAGAGGAACAAGAGCTTTCTCAGTTCCTGTCCAAGTCTGTGTTCTTAGCCACTCTCTCCTTTCATCCGCGAGCACAAATACCACAAAGAAAAACTCCTGGGCAAAAGTTATAATAATAAACCTTTATATTACCAGGCACGTAAGGTCAGATCAAATTTGTATTTACAAGCACAAACTGAAAAGTGTCCATTTATACCACAAAGCATTTTTACTGGAGAAAAAGTACTTTGTTCAAGGTCACAACAGCAGTGATCCATCTGATATTCCACCCTACATCCTTCTTGTTATAATTCCAGAGCCCCCTAACACTACTCCATGCTGCTTACTGGCTTAGAGGCTAGTTTGTGTATGTAGGCAGCACCATACAGGAACGTTACAGTGACAACACTGTCTGCTGGGGTGTGATGTTGAAAGAGAGTATAGAAATATTCTTTTACAATGACCATACATCACCATCTTATAGTTATAGGTAAAAGGAGATTTATTCGTTTCATGGTGTATATCCAAGAGTCTCCTACAAGTGGTAAAATCTTCTCCTCTTCTGACTGTAGGCTCTGCTGCTCGTGGGCCTGGCCTGAGTTTTCAGGAGGATGGTGTCGTTCCAGGAGCCATAAATCAAACAGTAATACTCTGCCCTCTTCACCGCACACTCGTAGGTTTTATCAGGCAGGAGCCTGTTGATCTCTGTGCAGCAGGTGTCCACGGTGAGGGTGCCATATTGGTTGCCCTCCTCCTTGGTTTCAGGCTTGAGGAGCTTGTAGCGGATTTCAAATTTCTCTGTGGGGTTGTGCTCGGCCTGGCCCGCGACACCCCACTTCAGCCTAATGGAGTCCTGGAAGGCCACCGACTGCTCTTTGTCGAAGACAACCGGCATTTTGACGGTCACAGCCAGACCGACTTGAGGGTTTTTGCCATTTCCCATGTCCGAGATCAGCCTGTGTTTCATGTGCAGCCTGCCTGGGATAATTACCGAGTTGAAGTTGAAGAGGGCTCTGGAGATCTGGGAGAGCTTGTGTTGGAGAACGCTGCTCTCCGACAGGAAGGCACTCAGGTCGTACGTCTTCATGATGCCTTCCAGCTCCTCCTTCCCGCTCCTCATCTGCTCATAAAACTCGTCAAGCAGGCAGAGCTGGATTTTCACCTGGCTGGTGCCTATCCTCTTCATCCTCTGGAACCTCCAGGGATCGATCAGGTGGAAAATAGTAGAGCTCGTTACGTAGCTGTGGTCCCCATGGGGGAAATCCTTGCGCAGGACCTCCAGGTAGTATGAGCACTTCTTCAGAACGTTCATCCTCAGCTTGTACTTTCTCAGGGCCTCGTTGTTCAGCTGGGAAGAGATGAATCCCAGGATGCTGTTCTTCTGTTCTGTGTATCTCCTCCAGGCATCTGCAGCCTGCAAGTTCTCCCTCGGGCAAGGTCTCCTCTTCGCCAGACGAGCTTCAGTTAGCTCAGGGTTTAGCGCCATCGTCTGGAAGCTTTTATTTCATACCTGCTAAAGAGAAGTACGTGGTAACAGAGGGCTTTTACTGTCAGATTCTCAAACACGGTTCCTATTGGTGAGTCTCGTTTCTGGATCTGGGGAACCACAGCTCTCACTGAATTCCAGCTCTAAATGACTCAGTTAAAATACTAGGCCCTCCTTTCCAATCCCTTGCCTCTCTATACCCTTTCTCGTCCTTCTCACTCACCTCACCATCCACTTAGCTGTGCCTCCCCATTAGTCCACCCTCCTCATCTTCCTCCCTTGCACCTTGTAGTGGGAGCCGATACCTACATACCTACAAAGTCCATCTCTAACCAAATCCCAGTGTCTCATTGGCAACTACCTCATCGGACTATACCTGTACCTTCAGATCCTCCTTACTTCCAATATTTGCTGTGTGCTGCTTGTATAAAGTACTGTACAGTCTTGAATTCGAAACCTTTTGTTTCTACCACTCCCTGTTAAATATGCCACATTCTAAACCTTTTAATCTTTATTAAGGGCTCTTCAATGTGCCTCAGATAAAGACTAAGGACACAAGATTAATTATCTGGGGTTTTCCAGTTGTTGGCCACCAAGCAGGTGTGCAATATTGAGAGATGTGACTCTCTAGAACAGGAGTGGCCCTGTGATGGTTGCGGAGAGCCACAGTTCACCGGTTTGTACACAGTAGGTTCCTGTGACAGAGTGTGGGGAACCGTTATAGAGGGAATTGTAGTGGTCCGCCCTTGGAAGTGATCTGTCTGGGAGCCTCTGAACGCTGGTCTTTTTCCCTTTTATTTTGCAGACTCATTTCCTCTCTCCTTGGCTCCTTAAATATGGGGCCCCATATTCTCTCTCCCGTGCCAAACCCCCAAGCTGAGCAGCAGCAGCCGTTACTCTTTCTCCCCTCTCTTGCCTCCTACCCCTCCTATCCCTTTGAGTGACTATAACACGCCTGTGTACCGGAAAAAGGCAATACAACTATCAGCAGTTCCGGTTTCCTGCCTCTCTTACTAAACCCTCGCCTGTGAAGAAATCAGGGCTGATAGATATATATATATTTATTTTGGGCCAAGAGATGTGAGATGTCACTACTTACTATACCCCTGTAGTTTCCTCTGACTTGTTCCAGATGCCAAACATTTTCAGGTAGCAAAAGAAAGTACTGATTAGCTGGATTCCTGTGTGATGAGACTCAGCTGTGGGATTAGTTTTTCTCTCAAGGTACATACAGTAAGGGTGCGGCAAGGGGAGGCTTTTAGTTTTTTTGGTAGAAAGACCCGAATCACTGAAGTTTTTCTATTGCTGTTAGAGGACAACAAGGGAACAAAGAGGTTTCAGAATTAAAAGGCAAGTTAGGGATTTCAAGGGAAAGAAAGATTTGTTACTGAACCTAAGCTTGTTCAATACTGCAAGTATAAACACTAACAAACAAATTAGAAAGAAAGATTTCTAAAGATAGTATCACTGCACTACATATTACTGAAATATGTGTGCTGTTTTCAATCCAGCTACAGCCTTGATCAGACAGGATGTTTGAAGTTACCCCTAAATTATGAACAAAATTGATAAGACCCACAAGTACTAAGTATTTTCACTCCTTCACTGACACAGCTTCCAACCAAACAGGGAATAAAATGCTGTACATAAAAGGAAATCTTTTTGTTAAAACATACAGTTTCATTATTCATGAACTCTTGTTACTGAGTAACATACACAGAATGAACACACAGCTGACAGACCCGAGTACACAGACTGCAAACACAGCCCAGTTAGAAAACTGAACTCATCACAGATGTTCAGTAAAGTGGAAACATGCCATAGAGTACTAAGGATTGCAGAAAAAAAATGTATTATTCTAAAATCTGTGGCAGGTAAAGATAGATATTAGTCTCTCAATACTGCTGTTCATTATTACTGATTCAATAACAACTACAAACACATACTGTATTGTGGTCTATCTTGATCAGAAATAGGTCTAAAAAAGTTATTTGAAGTCTTGCAGGAGTACTTGTGAAAGTGAAAGTCGAAGCTTCTAGAAATGTTAAATATTTGGTTGTCCGGTTTGGTTAAACACATCTTTTTTTAATATTCAGAGACACCTGATTCATTTTCTAAAAGAACTGTTTTTTTTTTTTACTTTTACTTGTGATTTCCTCAGGAATTTAAAAAAAGGTGGTGAATTCTTGTCTGCATTTATATACTACATAAAACATACTAATCTTTCAAAACAAATTGGTGGTTAGCAATTAGTAAGGTCTCTATTGTTTGGGGCCTTCTATACTGCGCAACAGATTTACTGCTCACTACCATATGTCATATTCAACAGTAGATTAAATGTTGTGTACCTTGAACACAGACACCCAGGGCTGTTTGACCGTGTTGGATCTTTATATCTGAATTTAAAGGAATTTACCCAATTCCCATGAAATTTGTTTGCATTACTACAACACATCTAATAATGGAACAGCCAGCAGCAACATGATAATTATTTCAACCTAACAGATGCCCACAATCCTACAGACAGTACTGGGGAAAGTTATTTTAATGTGTAATACACTACATTTACTTTAGTAAAGGATTCATTTTTAAAATGAGAATAAGATGTTGGGGGAAATTGCTTTTAAGTGATAATGCATTACTTTGCATAGTAATAATTACATAGTAATGTGTTTTTTTTTTATTTCTCCACAACTTCTTGCTAATTTAAAAAATTCCTTATGTGACCGAAATGGATTACTCTTTATGCCTGCCCACGCACACCTATGAACACACATATCTGCTATACCTTCCCAAATCTTTAAAAGCTTTAAAAACCAGAAAGGGGAGAGTGATCTACAGTATCTCCTTCATCTTTCAATACAGGATAACTGAGAAACACACAAAGGGAAACATCTGCCCAGTCAAGCTAACAAGCTTAATCAAAATGGATTTATGGAGCAATATGAACTGTGGCATTATTATCTATAAAACCCAAAAAGGAGACATTATTCTGGTCAAAAGCCAAAGGTGGCAATTTTAATTCTCTTTGTAATCACTGTGCAGCCAGGAGTTGTTCAGGTTGGGTTCAGTGCACCAGTTATGACTCAAATGGGCTTCAGTGCAAAAGATTTACTGTTTGCATTATTTTTAGAGCAATAATGAGAAAATGAAGGGTGAAAAGGTTGCAGTACTGTTACAGTAAACCACGAGGAAATTAGCGACATCTGGATTTCCTACACTTTGAAGTTCTCAAAGTCAGAGGACACCCAGATACTGTATGTTTGATTAGATCCTCACTAGGAAACACATGAGTATAGAGCAGTTTCTGAGCCAGGTTCTTTACCCACAGAGATAAATGTTCAATTCGGGGCAAACCTCTTTTGGGAACATTTTAGGCATTCGAATAATTATGGACATTTCTGTGGGACCTTCATGAAACTCCAGAACTTCCATTAATAAAATCCACTGATCCCTACCAAATAGGACAAAGTGTTTCACAAACCTAAGTATTAATTACAAATTAAAAATATTATATCGTGTATATATGACTTTAAGGATCTTTTTGCCTGCTACAAGCTTTCAAAGTAGCTGTTCACTGTGTTCCAGAGAAGCTGGACGTCTTTAAATTGTATTCTTACTGTGTATTTTAATGTGCTCCATTTTAAATTGAAACATTAATTGATATCATGGTTCTTTTAGTGAAGGAATAAAAATGCTGGCAACAGTTGAGAACCGCATTCATTGCAATAAAAGTTTATCCATGTAGAATACACTGGCATGTAATTACTCTCTTAAATGTTAACAAAATGACTCTGAAAAGCTGTGCAAATTCCACCCCTAACATCATTCTGAATGTAACAAGCTCAGACTCATGCACTGGTCTGTGTCTCTAAAAAATGTAAACATTGCGATGGGTGTACAGTAAGATCCTGACACAGATCTTTGTTAATCTCCCCATTTACCCAGCATTGACTAAAGTAACACAAGAAAGGGAGAGACACACTTTGAGCGAATAATTTTCAAAACAGCTCAGAAAGCCACTAGTTTGTTTATGAAAGAATATTTAACAGTGTACTGTGAACTGACACAGGTCTAATTTCACTTACAGTAACTCTGCACCACGGTCACAAGAGTTTTGCTGTTTTTTACTATACACTATTATTACATAGATTACTAATTTATTAACTAATTAACTAAGATAT